GCCACGTTAAAGAAAACACAAAAATAACACATATAGTTCACTACATCAGCCATAATATGAGAAATGTCTTTTTATAACAGCAATAAAAAGGACTATAAAGTGCACATGCAAAGTTTTAATAACCAGGAGGTGACACAACACACCACAAAGCAGTGTACACATTTCAAAATAAAATACGCGCACTGCAGGTGACAGAAAACGACAGCTTGTGGAATTTAATGTTGAGAAAAATTTTGTGTCTTACCTGAGTTTCTGTGAGGCTAAGGCTGTGGGCGAGCTGTTTTCTTTCTGCTCCCACCACGTAATGGTTTTTCTCAAAAGCGTGTTCGAGCCGCAGGAGTTGCGAAGGTGAAAAAGCTGTCCGGATTCTTTTGGGCTTTCTGGCCAGCGCGTTGTGCAAAAGGAAGCTCTCTGGACTCGTTTCATTACCTGGAGACGAGCAGAAAACGAGTATCCGTCATGAGTTTTATTTTTTTAATTCTACAATATATTAAATTATCCATACCAAACAGCAGGCCAGCGCACAGCTACATATATGAAACAGTAGTCTGCTGAGGGCAGACTGGAAATACGGCATGATAATAATGTCTGAGGAGAAGCTGGACATCAGTCAATAAATTAAGATAATTTATCGAACACGAATATATTTTTAAAATATTGCTTATTGTATTAATTCTTCATCTGACATGTGTGAGAGCACGGCATAATGCACAGAGAAGAACAACACAAAGCAGAGGTATAATCCTAGGCCTAATTAAATTAGCTAAGAAAAACTGCCTTTGTAAACAAAATGACAGATAAACTGAAGCAGCATAACACATTTAAATAAACAGCAGCCAAGAGACACTTTGGAAATTAATTTCGAAAACATTCCTATAAAAAATGCTAATTTTGTTTTTATTTGTCAGGAAAAAATACAAGTAATTATACACATAAATGTCATAAAATGAGTGCCCAAAAGTAAAAATAACAAACGAATTTTCTTAGTATCGCAGGTCAAGGCAATTTGGGTAATAAAATCTAAATTAACCTAAATTTGCTTTAGAAAATTAGCAGCAGGCTGGTCAAATAACCAGCTGAATTGTTTTATTTTTTTCCTTTAAAAACAAAAATGGATCTTTTTAGTTGAATTGTGAAAACTGCAGAGCAGCGAGATACATTAGTATCGTTTTTACGCATGAAAATAGATCATATATATCCAATGCCAACAGTGTACAAACGTCAACATTTCTACTGCTATATTTTTTGGTCCTGGATAGACATATCAGGCAGCAGACAGCTATACAAGCCAAGGCAACATTTTGGTTTTTTTTTACTCGAGATTTGTTTCTTTTTTCTGTAAATAAAAAATAATAATAATTACAGGGCCATTTCTTGAGCGAATTAATCCATTAAATTATTGTCTGCTTTGGCCTGAGAACTGGAGCTGCTAGGCTTTAAAGCTGCTCTGCTACAGCCTGACATATTTTTAATTCCTTATCCATCCTGTTGTCTGCACTGATGGGGAGAAATCAGTAACCATTCTCCAGCCGCTCGGTGCGTTTCGTGCGTAAAAGAGCCAAACGAAGCATTTTTGATAACTTACCTTGAAATCTGTGACCCAAGTACCTATATCTGTGTAATAACCAGGGGTAGAAAGTTGAGGGGTCCCTTTGCTGGCTGGCAAAAAGAGGGTGCGGACTGTGTGAGGACGAAAGCGGGTGAGCGGCCAGAGCGTGCGGCGGGGCCACCGGATGCACCGGGACGGCTGAGTTTTGCGGATGAGAGACCGCCTCGGCAAACACCAAGTCCGGGTTAGAGTAGACGCCCCTGCCGCCGGAGTGAAAGCCGTTGAGGAAGGGGTTCATCTGGCCGGAGTTTGCATAGCTGAGAGCCGCCGGCCTGATGGGCTCCTCGGTGCGGGACGCCGGTACAGGATTATCCTTCGCCACCAAAGACTCTATAGTAAAACACCTCTTGGGTGTAGGTTGAAACATGGTCTGATAGTCCAGATTCCCCAGTTTAAGTTAAAGTTGTCGTAGGCGCTCTCGCTTAAAAAATACTCCACACCCAAGAAAGGGGGAAAGTTTCTGCGCAGTAAATAAGTTGGGAAAAGGCGGCAGTGTCGAGAAAGCCAAAATAAAAAGTGCTCGGCTACTCCCAGACTAATCCATGGATGTGATCGTTTTCCTCGCCGGGTTCGTGCAGGCAGATTTGTTAGTTCATGAGCCTAATTAGCGCTGCAGTCCCATAAACAGCTTCCTCTGAAGGCTGTAATGGCATGGTGATTGGTCGCTGCCGCTGCTGCTCGCCTTAAGGTGGAGAAGGGGAAGACGCTTAAAAAGTGCGTCAATGGGAAGCAGGGGCGCGGAGAGGCGGACTCGAACGCGCAACACGGAACGGATTCGTCCAGAGAGGAGCCCCCCACACGCGCGCGCGCACATACCCACGCGCACATATCTCCAGGACATTTAACACACTCATCTGAACCAGTAGAAAAGCTCAAGGTAGCCTGCTTATTTGCATTTACGGGCTGTGACAGGTTCAAACTGATTTTTTAAGGGTGGGGGCGCGTGTAGTGGTAATACTAGCCAGTGATTATTTTTAATTATGCACAACAATGTTGCGCAAACATCAAATCAGCTCCATTAAGGTCTATTTTCGATGCTGTGAGCGGGGATAATATTGAGTTTAATTGGCTATCATTCGGCCTTCATTTATTTCTCAATTTTGTTCCTGATTTTGTTTTTCTAACTGGATTTATGTACAGAAACTGTTCTTGTTGCGTCCCTGCTCGTTTCCGTTTTCTCCAGATTCTATTAGGATAAGTTTCAAATTGAAGACTTTTAATTTCTGCTGGATGGATGGGATGTCTGGGAGACACCGGAGACACAACAAGCTATAGATTCAGAGCTTGTGTTTTTCCGCAACTGTGCGGGACAGTGCGTAAAGGCTGACACTCTTGAAAATTCAATAACGCTTTCTCACTGATGAGTCGCTGCTTGTCATTCAGTGTTATTCAATGTAAAATGCTCAGGTGTTTATTGGAGGAGCTACCTGTGACTGCAGGCTGTCACCCCTGTGTGTGGATCAGTGGCTGAGAGCAGCAGCACAAAGCTGCAGCCATGGCCGCGCACCGAGGGCCTCCATAAAGACATGATACACACTAATAGCACGCGGAGTTACAGTCAGGAGGCTGCTGAGAAATGGATACATGCAGCCCTGAAAATTCAGATTGTTATATAGTATTTGAAATTGTAATACATGTTTATTTCTTTTTTTTCTTTTTTCTTTTTTAAACTTTTTTTTTAAGAGACCACACGAGCCTGAATGGTAAACATATTTATTGAAGTGTATTATTATTATTTTTTTATTATTCTAATCATAATAATAATAATAATAATAATAATAATTATTATTATTATTATTATTACTATTATTGTCGCAGTCTAGGATATATGCTTGCACATTCAAAGCTTGTGGACCAGTCTACTAGGGTTGTTATTTGTGCGGGTGGGTTCAGGGTCTGTGTGGAATAAAATACAACCTAAAGACTAAAATGGTTTGGCAAAGCTGCCAGAGCACCAGCAGCGGTGCAACACTATATACGCCTGATTTAACATCTTAAAAACGTGTCAGTCCAGATTACATTGTTACAATAAAGAATCATTGGGAGTGAGTTGTTTTAGATGTTTTATTTAAACTCGCCTGAGTTCATTAAGGTAAAGCCTTTTATTTTTGTAATATAATCGCCTCATAAATAAAAATTTCCTACCTATTACACACATTATTATTTTTATTATTATCACGACTACTATTAGTGTTGTTATTGGTATTATCAGCATTATCATTATTAAAGTGCATCGTGGATTCAAATCGAAGCAGTGCAGATCATTTTAAAGTCATTTGTTGTCATGGAAAGCTTTTTTTAAGGAGAAGTTAAGCATGGTTAAGGGTTTCTTTAACAATTCTTACAGCATGTTACCGGTTTGCTAATTGCCTGCACACTGACCACTGCCTGCACGTTCATATTTTCCTGAGTTTTACACTCGGTTAACTGCTGATCATGGAGATGAACCAACACACCGCCTGCTCTCACACGTTGAAGCGTGTCGGTCCTCTCCACGGAGCTGTACCGACCTCTAGTGGTAACATGCTGGTACTGTGGTAAAAATGGTACCAAAACTGGGGGTGATGAGTTGTAGGGTGCAGTGAAAGTAGAAAGATCTAGTTCAAAACGACATAAAGACTGGTTGACTTTAATAGTGTCGCACTCTGTACAAGTTTGAGCTGATGATTTAACTGTTGGGATCAAAGTTTGCTCTTTGAGCACCTCCAGTGGACACGGGCTGCCAATACAGTTCTCTGTCAAGTTGTATTTTCACAACTGAAGTTAGTCAGAGGGACTGATATATGCTAATATTTATGACTAACACAAATACAGGAAGATATTTCAGAACAGAATCAGCTATTCTGCCCCATCAGGTTTATCCTCTGATCGCCACACTGGGAGCAGAGTTATTAGAGTTTTTTTTTTTTTTTTTAAACCATTCAGTTTGGTTCCAGACTGGGTTTGATCATTTCAGTTTAGTTTTCATTGCATAAAAAATGAAACGCTATGTTTTAGTTTAGTTTTTATTAGTCTAAGTATGTTCAAGGTTTTTTTTTTGAAAATTATACTTAGGTGGTATTTGTCGGGGTACACAATTAAAAAAGTTTAGAATGGGTATTACAATACAAACACTACATGTTGTGAAGGCAGCTGACTCACAGTCCTGTAGACATCCCAGTCTCAAACATATGCACCAATGTATCCTTATGCTTGTGTTGACACATTTGACCAAACTCATTAAAACTTAACATATTTCCTGCATGGTTTTGTTATGTTATATTTTAAAATAAAATATAAGTATACAATATTGTTGCCCACTGTTTTAAGGGACCTGTTGAACACCAGACTTAAACTGCTAAGTGTGCTGTGATCTTAAATGTTGATATAGCATTTGAGACAACATGAACCATTAGGTGGTGAGCAAACATATTTATTAATAAAGGCTTTATCTGTACACATGCAACCTGGTTTGATACCGCCGATTGCAGCAAGATAGAACCACACACTGGATATCGAGCGAGACCAATTGAATACTCTATGCATGCACATCAAAATGTTAAGTCCATTCCACTAGTTGTTAAACAGGTTAAGAAGCATCTGAAACATTAGATGAAGAGCAGAGATCACTGAAGCAGATGACAGATTTCTAGTCATTGCCATTAAAAGAGTTGTGGATCTGTGGTATTACGACATAAATGCAAAGGTCAATTATTTAAAAGAGGCAGTTGGTGATGCACTGAGTTTGCATTGAACATTGGAGCAGGTACAGTTTTTCAGTTTATCCAGTTTAATTTCTTCATGTAAGGTAATAACACTCCTAACCACTGGGGCAGTCATGTTTACACTGATGGTTTGCATGAGGCCTAAGTGCACACAAGTTCACTGGCTGATGGTGTTTTGGGTGGTAAGGAGCCTCTGTTTCAAAACTGCTGAAAGTCAAAATAAAGAGAAGAAAAAAATCCCCAGGAAAACTACTGTCTACAAATATTCAATTCAAAGGAATTATGCACAGGAGTATCAGAATCTTGTTGCCATTAAATCACCACTGTTGCTAACTGGCTGATGGGATACCGAATATTATTTTTTTTCAAAACCAATTTATCATGAACTGAATCTATAGGATGCAGAGATTGTAACTCAGCGGCGGACAGTGGTCCAGCCATCATCATCTATCTCGTTCTTGGTGCGGCGAGGGTTTTCTTTGTCTGAACGCCAACCCTTGTCTCCCTCAGGCTCACGCTCCCGCTCCCTCTCCCTGGGCCGCTCCTCACGCTTGTCTTCGCCTCCGCCTCCGCGACGCCAAGAACCTCCTTAGAAAACAAAGACACTCATTAGGACATGTTAAAGCAAATACAAATCTATTTTAGAAGTTTGTGTATTTACCCAACCTGGGGCCAGATACATAAAACTCTGTGTACTTGTGCGCCTCCACCACTCATTAGACCTGTCTCTGAGGAATACGGTAATCAAAGTGAAATTTCATCACCCATTGCATCGGTGAGGTTCTCCAATAGAGTTGGAGCAGTTGTCATTACGAAGGGCTGTGGGTATTTGTAGCAGCCGTATCACTAATTCATCACATTTCTGCAAACCATCATCGTGGTAAAATCTTTATTATTATTATTATTAAATGTCAGAAGGATGATCAATGATTCATTCATAAAGCTCATGTTCAAACAGACTTTACAGAGCTTCACATGATAAAATCAACACTGATGAAGGTAAATATGTGTGAGTGTGTGAGGTGTGCACATTCTTCGTTTATAAATACCAGTTTATTTGAGGGAAAAGATGTAGGCACAGTTTTTACATGTACCGACCTTTATGCATCTGGCCCCTGCTGTAGCAAAAGTGACAGTGACCCCTGCTGTCTGAATGCAACACCCCCCAATACCCATTAGTTTTGTTAAACAGGAAAGTTCACACCTACTTTAAAATGTATCTGTTCTATTTAGTAACCTGGTGTCTGTATTTGGAGCCTATCAGGATGGTGTGAACTTGTGACTTGATTGCTACAATGTTTTTATCATAGTCACTGATCTGATGGTAACTCAGACAAATCTGAAGCCTGATGGTTGCTGAAGGTTCTGTTCAGCCATAAGCTATGTTAAATAACATACATATGCGTAGGTTTTGGGTTTAAAGAGAATTACACCCCACAGCTTTTAGTGGGAAAATGGTGATGCCTCCTACAGTGTATGACTGATGTATGTAACTCTCAAATCCCACTGCTTACCATCATCTTGATCTCTGGGTGGGCCTCTCAGTTCACGGTCATCCCGGCGCTCTCTATCACGAGGTTCATCACGGCGTCCAAAATCACGGCGCTCACCACGACGATCATCACGGTCACGGCGTTCATCACGGTCACGGCGGTCATCGCGGTCACGGCGGTCATCGCGATCACGGCGGTCATGGCGGTCATCGCGGTCGGCATCTTCTCTGCGAGACTCTCTCCAGCTGCTTCCTCCTTCCTCTGCACCTGCTCTCCTCCAGGTATTGTCCTCTCTGTGGAAATAAAGTGATACTAAAAACTTGCTGGAAAGGTAACTGTGATATCCTCTGTCTGCATTTATGACCAAAAAATACACCAAAACTCTTGGCATAGGTCTATCAGGCCCACCTGACTGGACGACGGTCTCTGAAGTTGTCGCTGGGTCTCCTCTCTCCTTCAGTATCATCTCTTTCATCACTGGCGTTATCACGAGGAGGACCCCAGCTGTCCTCTCGAGCCTTCTCCCGCTCACGCCAACCACCTGCCACATAAGCATTTACTCATCATCCCACATTCCGCACAGAGCTGCTGAGCAGTCTGATTACTGAACGAACCATTCTTCAATTAAATAAGAAATCTCTATCAGGCTTACCAGGTCGGCCCAGGGGCTTCCAGGGTTTGGCGTCATCACCACCACGACGTGGCCCATCATCCATGCCTCTCCTTCCACCTCTTTCATCATCTCCTCCTCTTCTGGGACCCCAGTCATCATCAGCCCCACGCCTGGGACCCCTGGAGTCATCCATGCCTCTTCTGGGACCTCTGTCGTCATCAAAGCCACGCCTGGGACCGCGGTCATCATCAAAACCACGCCTCGGGCCACGGTCATCATCAAAACCTCTACGTGGACCACGGTCATCATCCATCCCTCTGCGCAGAGGACGGTCATCATCACCACCACGGCGTGGACCTCTATCGTCATCAAAGCCGCGACGGGGTCCTCTGTCATCTCCGCCCCTGCGGAGACCTTCTCGCCTAAAGGGCCCCTCTCTCTCCTCTCTGTCATCTTCACGGCCCTCCTGTCTCCATTCCCTAGAGAGAGCACAGCTATTGGTAGAGCAGCTCCTCATGGTTTAACTGGGTTAACAGTTTAAAAAAAAAAAAAAAAAAAAAAAAAAAAGTATGATAAAACACAGTTACCAACACCTACTTGTCAGGCACAGGACGACGCCATTCTGAATCACCTCCTTCAGTACGCCTCCTCCATCCTCCTCCATCCTCCTTCTCTTTCTCGCCCCAATCCTGTATATGCAAAACATACCAATTAAGTCACATTTTGCTATTACATAAATAACACTCAAAGGTCTGTACAATCATTTGTTCCTACAAGCTACAATAATATTGGGTATTTAACTCATCTTAAAAGGGATAGTGCACTCAAAAATGAAAATTCAGCCATTATCTACTCACCCATATGCTGACGGAGGCCCTGGTGAAGTTTTAGAGTCCTCACATCCCTTGCAGAGATCGGCGGGGGGGAACGGCTAGCACACCTAATGGCTGACAGCGCCCCAGACCAACGTCCAAGAACACAAAATTGAAACCACAAAGTATCTCCAACATGCTCATCTGTAGTGATCCAAGTGTCCTGAAGCCCCGACATAAAAAGTTGTTTCGAAAAACATCATATGAACTCTGTTTTTAGTCTCACTGTAGCCTGTAGCTCTGACTGCTTCTCCATGCTCCGCGCTCATGTGCACGTGCCTGCACGAGACCAGTGAAAGCATGAGCTTTGCTTACCCGTGTTTACATCACGTGACACGTGCACCGCAGGGGGAGACAGCAGTAACCACAGTAGCTAAAAGATAATTTGCACTACGGTCTTTTAGCAAAGGACAGCCCAACATGTCTGAAGACTTTGAAATTGAGGAGGAACAGCATTTCTTTGTTGAGCCGTATTTGTTTGAGCCCGAATATACGGACGCGGAACTCAGGCTACTGGACGAAGCAGCCACCGCAGCTCATGAGCCTAACCCTCAGCCAGCCGCAGAATACCGAGTTGAGCACTGGAAACCTGGTGGTGTAGTTGTTTCAAATGCAAAGCAATGCCAACGGATGAGGAAAGTCTTTGCTGCTCAGACTGGGAATTGGCGATGCCTGCACTTGAGAATCTGAACATCAGTACTGACGAGACTGCTGCTATTCAGAGACCGTGCATCACCGATCACCCTGAGCGCGCACACGTGAGCACGGAGCACAGAGAAGCAGTCAGAGCTACAGGCTACAGTGAGGCTAAAAACAGAGTTCAAATGACGTTTTTCGAAACAACTTTTTATGTCGGGGCTTCAGGACACTTGGATCACTACGGATGAGCATGTTGGAGATATTTTGTGGCTTCAATTTTGTGTTCTTGGACGTTAGCCTGTGGCGCCGTCAGCCATTAGGTGTGCTAGCCGCTGCCCCCGCCGATCTCCGCAAGGGATGTGAGGACTCTAAAACTTCACCAGGGCCTCCATCGGCATATGGGTGAGTAGATAATGGCTGAATTTTCATTTTTGGGTGCACTATCCCTTTAATTCTTATTAAATCCACTACAGCAACACTAAAGAACACCTCTTGTAGATTAACTTTATAAATTAATTTCACATAAATTACTGAATAAAAGGGACAAGTCAACACATTGCTGACCATCAGATAGCTATACAATAAAATCTTGTATGAAGTACTTTAATTCCCACCCCTTTGTATTCGCATGAAACTTCAACTAACTGTCAGACTCAATAACTGTGGGCTCTGGCCATCAGTAAAAAAAAAAAAGCTCATTCGTACCTTGGATTTCTCCTCCTGGGGGACCCTTTTCTCCTCCTCACGTCGGCGTTCTCGCTCCTCAATCTCCTGCTGTCGAGCACGCTGCTTCCGTTCCTGCTCTTCAAGTTTGCGCAGACGCTCCTGGTACTCCCTCTCCTCCTCTTCTCTCTGCTCTTGTTCCAGGCGTTCACGCTCCTCACGCTCTGTAACAAAGGCAGAAAAATAAGGTGGTGTGTTCAAACTACATGAACTTATAAAGAGTACTGCATTATGACCTGATTAAAAATCGCAAGGTGTGACATACTTGGAGTGGTTCCACAATTGGAAACACTTTTTCCTGACTAAAAAACTCTTGTGTCCAACTTTACTTAACCTGCAAAAGTCAGTCAAATAAAAAGTCCCAGTAGTACTAATGTCACTCAGAACAACCACCTTAACCACCATTGCCAACATTTCTACCACAATTTTCTTCTTGGTGGTAACTGCCCCTCCTTTATCATGACTAGTTGGCTTACAAGTTCCCAGTGCACATGTGCAAATATAAATTAATTACCTTTCTTGAGCTGCTCCTCATGGATACGCTGTGCTTCTTCCTCTTTCTGACGGTAGTAAGCATTACGCCTGTCCTCTTTGCGCTGCTTTTTCCTTTCTTCCATGCGCTTCTTTCTCTCCTCCACCAAGCGCTCCTGGAAAGCTTTCAGTTTTTCCTTCAAAGACAGAATTTTTTTTTTTTTAAACCACTGCATCAGTCACATCTCTTTGAGTAGGGAGGTAAGATGTTTTAAGTTTACTATACTTTATTAACACACTATCCACCTTGCTATGATACAAAGCTGGTATAAAATTGGCACAGTATACCTTTAAATTGATGGAAGGACTAAATGGCCTTACCTCATAAATGAAGCTACGGGCAGCAGTTATTTTGGACAAGAAGTTTTCTTTGTCCTCCATCATCCTGGACATGCGCTTCTTGTGCTCCAGAGCCTTCTCCCGTTCAACTTTCATGTTACTGATCTACAACAAAATGAAAAAAAAACAATTTGTACATTCTGGATACTCACCTGGGTGTATTACATTTCTCTGATCTATGGATGTATTTTTTCAATCTGAGGTTGTTGTTTTTTTTCTACATACTCTATCCTCCTCCTGGAGCTCCCATAGTTCCATGTCCTTGATACGCTGCTCCTCATAAGCCTTTTTGATGAGAGGAATCTCCTCGAGGCGTTTTGCTCTTTCAAAGTAGTCAATCTGGAGAGAAAGAAAGGTAAGTGTCCAATTCACATCTAGATGACTGATATTTTCACTGATGAATCACTCAGTTACCTTCTTCTCCTGGTTCTTCAGACGCTCCTGAAGTTCCTTCTTCTCCTTCTCCAGCTGCTCCACCTGTTTGGCCATGATGAAGTCAGGATCCAGCTCCTCAAGGTCCTGTGCCAAACAAACTTGTTAGTCTCACCTTTCAACTTCATATTACAATGACCTATTTCTGCAACATGGAGTTCAACCTAGTGAATCAATCAAAATTTCACCTCAATATCAATATCTTTAAAGGCTTTGGCTCCAAGTTCAGTCTTCTTGATCTGTTCCAGCCGTTCACGGACTGTCTTCTTTTTGATCTGCTCATGCTCCTGCATGATACGCTCCTTCTCCCTCTCTTTGGCCTCCTGGCGCAGACGCTCCTCCTCAGCCTTACGAACCTTTTGCATCTCAGCTTCACGCTGCTCCAGCTCCTCCTTCTCACGCTGAATGTTCAGGCTTTCCAGGCGTTCCTTACGCTCTTCGATGGTCTGTCTACGAGCCAGGATGCGCTGGTGATCCTTGCGGGCATTTTTCAGATAGGCAGCGATGGCCTGCTGGCTCTGCTCCTCACGCTCTTGCTGGGAGGGGAAACAAACATCAAAATGCAGATTAGACTTGAAGAATAAAAGAGAATACACAGTAATATGCAGATATGTCTGTTTGTATTATGTGTGACTATGTAAAAAGCTAACGTTGGTCACTGAACATGTGTCTCTCTGTGTCTACATATGAGAGCTCAGTAAGAGGGTGAACTCACCAGGATGGAGGCAGGTTTGATGACCTGGATGGCTTTGGCCAAAGAAGAAGACATGGCAGTCAGCTGGTTCCTTATCTGTTCTGAGGGCATGTTCTGCAGGAAAGGACCAACAGGGGCATCTTCTTTGGTTGAGTAGTTGAGGTCAGAGCCAAAGCTCAGTGTTCGAGAGGTGTGGTCTATACGGACCTGCAGGGAAAAAGGAAATGTCAGATAAGACGTTAGAAACAGTATGATAAACGCTGTTACACTTTTAAATAAAGAATACACACTCCTCCTGTTGCTTTCCTCTCTGTCTTTTGCCCCTCCCCCTACATGAGCATGGGCATACGTCCCCTCTCTCGGAAATGACCTAGGAGTCTCATCATGTTCTAGTGCTATTTTTGCAAAGTTACACCAAAATACAACTGTCTACCCAAGCTTTAATGTTTTTAATTAGTTAATGCATAATCTGTCATGATGTTGACCTTACCTGCAGATCACAGTGCCGGGCAGCATCCACAATGGAGCGCTCTAGCTGGAAGGCGTCCACAAATGGAACCAGGGAAGCCAGACGGGTGAACTCGATGCTTTGATAGATCTGTGCAACCTAATATAATGGATGTAGAGTAATGAGAGAGATTTGTACCATTTCACTGAAGAAATGATTTAAGACAGCATTCTAGGGTAATGAAAAAGATTAAAGAGAATTACCTGTTGCAGGAGCCTCAGGATGGTATTACTCTGCAGGTGAGGGACATACTGCTGCAGATCAGCCTCCTTCTCAGCCTGGTCTCTCACCCAGTTCAACACCTAGTAGCAGAGTAGGTTTGTTACCATATGCTGGTATGAGAATGACCAGCTTTAATCAATTTAATTAATTAAATAAATATTATTAAATTATTATTGCTTCTAAAACTACAAAGATGGACTATATATTTGGATTATTGCCACACTGGTTGCCACCAGATTGTATACCTTGGTCACTCTTCCACTCAGCTTCAGAGGATGAAAGTCAACTTCAAGCCAGTTGTAGAGTTCTTTCACATCAGGTACAACATACTGGAGCAGGTTAAATCTCACCTAGACCGCAAACAATAAAATATAAATTTGTCAAAACATCTTAAAGCAAATGTGAATTAACAGTTTTGCAAGATCAGGTTAAAAGCAAAGTTTCAAACTAATTGTCCTTAAAAGGATATAAATCTCTTCACAAAAGCAAACAAGAGCTTTTTCTACTAAAGTATTCAGGGGCACTGTTGAAACCTCAAATACCTAACAAAGCTTTCTCATGCAGATAACGTACCATATCATTGATGAGACTCTGCCGGGTTGGTGGAGACTGCAGGCCCAGGAGGGTGGCCAGCCTGCGGTGTTTTTCTACAATGATGCCATCCATGTCCAGCAGCCGAGCAATGTCAGTACGCTCAGGGGTGATAGGAATAGACAGTGTAGCCAGGAGGACTCTGGTGGACATCCTGAAGGTCCAAAGTAAGCATCATTAACCATTTGGTCACTACCAGAGTAAATTTTGTGCACTTATCTACATAAAATGAATAAGATACCTCTGCATCTCATCTTGGGTCAGATTCTTACGCATCTCCCTTGAGAGGTGATAGAGCCGGTGGAGGGTGCAGGCGTGGAAGAGAGCATTCCCAGACTTCCAGAACACAGTAGACACCTTGTTGTAGTAGTTGGCCATCAGCTGGGGTTTGGGAGGCTTCTTGGAAAGAGCAAACAGTCCATGGATGTCTTCAACAGCCTTGAATGCTTCCTGGTAAAAACAGTATCACATTAGTAACAATATCATCTTCACTTTGACCATGTCTCACATATTTAATGACACCGAAGGACATTAAAATACTATACTAGTGTGATGTTCTCCTACAAGTCATACACTATAATTGTACATTACTGTTGACTAATTTCTAATGCATTACTAAAAAAAATGTTTTATGCATTTAAATTTTAGGTAAGCAGACAAAAACATGCATGCATGCTGATATCGTCTTTTGAGAGATTCACGGTTGTAGACAAACCTGCCACAGCTCCATGCTAATGGCGCTGTCCAGCTGCACCAGGCGTGTCTCCAGGTGCATGGACTGACTTTCAGGGTTGTTCAGGTTGATAGCAGTGCTCTGGTTGTGGTGACGCTGGATCTGACCCAGATGCATGCGCAGATTGTCACATAGCTTGCGAAATTCTGCTTTACGGGTGTACTGAAGGCAGAACTTGAATGCTGCGGAAATAAATGTCCAGATATTATTTTCAACATTTAGTGTGTAACAACATGACATTTACAGCAGATTTTTATTTAATGACTAGTCTTCTGTGTAACTTTATGATGCCATTACACTGTACAATAGGGGTGCAACAGTACAGGTACCCACGGTATGGTCCGTACCTAGGTTTTTGGGCCACGGTTTCCGTACGTGTTTTGTGCGTAAAAAGAACAAATTTCCCCCCCAAAATTATCACTTTATTTTGCTTGACTTTGCACTTGACATGCTGCTGTGTTGTGCTACAGCCTATTCAAGTGCTGGAATTTGTTATTTACGTGACAACGCCTGAGCACAACACAGGCGCACTGGCCAGGCTCGGTTATAATTGTCGGGCAGGAAAATGCAGCCTGGGCCATGCTCTTGTGTGCTCACCTGTTTCTGTGTGTGTGTGTGTGTGTGTGTGTGTGTGTGTGTGTGTGTGTATGTGTGTGTGTGTGCGTGCGCGCGCATCGGGGCCGAACTCCACCGTGCGTGACACAGAGAGCCGAGGAGAATTGTAAACGTGCACCGTGTAGAGACAGAAATGACATGCCATTGTGTAAATAAGATAAATAACATAAGGCTATTTAGTTTGTTTAATAAAAGGACAAGGTAAGGGGCGGGGCACCCCCCTAATATAATGGTAGGGGAAACACTAGACATGTTTCAAGCAATGTTTGCAGACAGTGAAATTTCTGTTAACTCTTTTCACTCCCTCGTCGTTTTATTCAGCAGCGAAACTGAAGTGATCCCACACTGGAGATTTGTATGAAGCCGGTGCTTCTTCAAACTTCTGTCTCGCAACTCCTCAGCTTGCGCTTGCCATGGCTCTCTATGTTTGTTTTTTCCGCTTCTTTTCTGTGTGGGGCGAGTGTCACTTTCCCCAATTCCATTAACAACAGTGTGAGGGGGTGAGTGGGCGGAGCCACAACAGTGATTGGACATTAAGTCGCGGGGAGGGCTTTTGTGCAGCAGGCTGACTCGACCATTCTCTTTACATATCCATGGACTCGGCCTGTGGATAGGCGCGCGCACACACACAGTGGCCTGTAAAGCACCAATGCAAAATTAATTGCAAAACCAAAAACCCATGGTCCTTAAGGGCATATTGATCTGTGCAGGGCAGACCGAACGGTTCAATATTTTACCGAGGACTACAGACAATATAAGATTGAATACAAAACGTTCTTAATAAAATATTCAGTGTGTGTCACTACCTTGCTGGGCGATGTCATGGTACAGGCGCTCCACCTTGGAGTTGTTCCGCAGAAGGTCCAGGCACTGACGGTAAGACTCCCACAGGAACTTCACCCAGGGAGTGAGCAGCAGGCGATCTGTACGATCCTGGGTGTCCTCTCCACTCACAGCACTCAGGAGAACACTAAAGTCGCAACAAGCTCAATGTTAATAATCCGTATTAAAATTTTCAAGCACATGCTAATTACCTTATACCATACCATGTATTGTGTATGAACTTGAGTTGCAAATTATATTGAGCCTACAATAATGTGTAGGGCAACCTTAAGTGCCATGTATAAACATAACTTTTTATTGTGAATACAATACAAAGTGACAGATTGAAGACAGAACAAAAAGCAGCTTAAAAACAAAAATATTTTCAAACAATGATTTGGCAGCCCCCATACAGTGACTCTGAGGACCCCCTAGGGGTCACAGATCCCTTATTGAAGACCATGCCTTATACTCTTAGCTGTGACATCAGTATAATTCGAAACACACATTCATCCGACTACAATGGGACATGAGTTAAAATTCTGTATGAAGTTAAAGGAAATCAACAAACATGTACGGAGACACCTTTATGCTGTAAAGAGACACTGTTTCTGCATCTGTCATTTGAGTATCCTCACCTTTCAGGAGTCTGGATGTTGTCCAGATCCTCGATGTCCAGGACCATCTGCTGGGACTCCTCCTTGGCTGTCTCAGTCTTCTCCTCTGCCAACTTCAGGTAAGCCCTGACCACATCCTCCAGAGATTTGATATTCACCTGAAAGCAAAGACAGACGCTACACTTTGGCTCCAAACAAAAACAACTGCCCAATTTGTGCGAACATCAAAGTTTCTCCTCACACACCTGCTGGCAGATGTTCTTGTACTGGTAGAGACCCTCCTTGGCCAGGTGGCTCTTGCGAAGATCCACGCAGAGCTCCAGGTACTTGAGCATGATGGGCTCGTGGATCTTCTGCCATGTTCGATGTTTCTTGCTTTTGATGACATCGTACAGAACATCCAAAGCTGGCTGCTTTTTGCCAACCTCAAGAAACTCTGTAAACACATCAAGAAATAGATCAACATTACCTCCATCACAAGTCAGTGTATACCAGGGGTGTCAAACTCATTTTACTTTATGGGCAACATACAGCCCAATTTGATTTCAACTGGGCCAGACCAGTAAAACCATTGCAGAATAATCTATAACTAACAATAACTCCTAAAGTTTCCCTCACGTTTAGTGTTAACAGGTACACATACATTCTGAAAATGTCCACGCTTTTACAGAACAGAAGATGAACAGCCTGAAATTTATTAAGAAAAGTAAGTGCAATTTCGCCAATATGTCAGTTTTTCCATATTCACTGAATCTACTACTCTCATGTGCATACATTTCCACTCCTATGTAGTAATCCTGACATCACCACACCACACAAAAGTGGAAGCTATTGAGGAAGGAGTTTAAGTTATCCACTGCCTTACAAACCATTTACAAATCAAAAGTTTTGACAGTGCCACCAATATTGTATTGAGATAGAAGTCTGATGCAGATTCTTTTGCACTAAATTCACTAGATTCACAATATTCTGCAGAGTGTTCAATATCTTTAAATATGATCAGTGGCATAATAATAATAATAATAATAATATATATTAATTTGTTTTTTTTCCAGAGAACTGTATTATAGTCAGGGCGGAACAGCTTCTTAAGAAGCATTTCACGTCAAGTACGATGCTTATTGTTTAACTTGCTGCTGATACATGGCACCTCTTAGCCTTTACAGGTGCATCGATATTAGGTGTTAAAAGTCATCCGGTGGGCCGGATTGGACCCTAGACGGGCCAGTATTGGCCCGCGGGAAAATGTTTGACGACTATGTTGTATGCTGTATACATATTAGCTTTGGCATCTCGCACAAACTCCACAACCGTGGTTAGCTAAATCTGCCTGACACTGTTAGGCCCATGGTGCCTGAGGAACGTGACATTAGCATTAACGCTGCAAGAAGAGAAAGCACTAACATCTAGACAATAACGTTAGCTAAGAGGCGTTGTCAGTAACGTTTTAAAGATGTAATGAATGTTTAAGATCGTCTAATATCCACCTAAACAACATTTCTAAAGTGTCACCGACTTAGTCGATGTCATTACCACAAAAATGGCCCAGCCGGTTAGCTGAATACTAACGCAGCCGTGAGAAACGATATGGCTTCCCCGCCAAGCTAGCAGTTAGCCTGACTAGCTACGCCGCAGCGTCAGTGACGATGCGTTTGAAGGCTAAAAGTTAGCTAACGTTAGCTTACATTAGCTACTTAGCACAGATGTCTGACATTTGTATAACTCGAATCTTTGTTTCTACTCACCGTTTGCTCGTTTCAGGGCATTTTCTGGCCTTTGGAAATACGCCGGCATGTTGGCGGCGTTCTAGTGAAACTCAAATTGGCTGACTTGAGTAAATTTTGAGAGATTTCACCAGTCCATCAACGCCACGCACTCACCCGCTCCAACGGTGCTGGCTGAGAAAGGAAGAACCTCGTGAGCGGCCTAGCTAGGGTTGCCAGGTGCGTCCCACACTATCCCTCTATCACGGTGTCTAGCCCTGTCAGCAGACCATGAACTGAAAAACTGAGTGCTGTTTTGTTTCAACCAAAAGTTACAATTAATGTTTAAGTTTATGTCGTTATTTTCTTTACCTCTCTTTGTAAACTGTTTACTCTCTTGCTAAGCACATACATTTTACCACAACACATTCCTGTTACATTCTCTATATTCATGCAACTACTTCATATTTTGTTATTTTTTTTCCTGTTTTGACTTGCACTACTTCCCCATATCCTTATACTTAGTTTCCCTTGTTGTTTCTACTTGTGTGATTTTAGAATTACTATTATTAATAATTTTTATACATACTTAAATTGCATTGTTGGAAGAAGTCTATGACCCAAATTTTTCAATGGTAACGACTGCTCTTGCTATTGTTGTTCATTTGACAACAAATAATCTTGAACACTGATTTGCAATCAAATATTAACATGCATATTGTAAACTTAAAATCACTTTTTTTTTACAGATGATTCTGTAAATGTTTGCGCTGACTTGTACAAATTGTAGCTCCCTAAATGACCATATGTTACCTTGATATATCTGATACAGATATAATGATTTGGCATGTCCTTTATACATGGTTACACACTTCTATGGCATCTGTATGATTATTTATCCTGAATTTACCTGAATTTATTCTCTTGATGTATGTGAGTGATATATTTGACCCATTATCATTATTATTAATTTTGCTGCCACATGTATGCTCATATGTATTTATACAGGCTATACACTTTTATGTACAGCACACATTCAAATGTGTACATAGCAGTCAGTGTTTAGGGTAGATACATGTTAATGTTTACTGTGTTCAGCTCTTTTATCCTTATTTTTAGCTGTATGTCGATTCATCTATGCACGCTGAGAGCAACTGAAGAACTGAGTCAGATTAACTGTATGTGCGCAAACACACCTGTCAAATAAAGCAGATTCTGATTAGGAAATATCATCTGTAACTCATTGTAGCCTATGTGACCATGGGTGTCAATAAAAAGTATCAGATAAATAAGTATATGAAATACGGTATTGAGATCTATTAGGCATAGCCTAATCTAATATTATTTATCTTGAATAAAAGTTTAATATGACGGTAGCATTATTAAGTAGATAACAGCGACACAAAACCTACAAACGGGGGGTTTCAACAAACCTGGCAGCTCTGGGTGTATAAAGTTCCCGTATGTGCTCCATTGATGGTGTGTTCAAGTAACCCTCGTTAAATGTGAATTAAATCAAACTATTGGCTCTTGCAGGTTTGACTCAGCATCAGCAGGTACCTGAAATTAAAGGATGGGGTTTAAAATATGATCTGGAGGCAATCCCCATTTTGACCGAGCCTGTGCTATTCAATTTTTTTTTTCTACCACAATACCGTTAGATACCTATTGTAGCGTAATCAGTGTGCATGTATCAGCTGATGTACAAAGTCTGATCTAGTCAGAAGTGCAGGCAGCAGCATTTGTTTGCATAGCTCAAGATATTTAAATGGGAACTATGTCCATTTCCAAAATTCATAAATGTTATTTCTACAGTCCTGGACAGTACAAAAAATTTAAAAAAAAAAACATGAATGACTTTCTCTCAAATCCAAAAGATAGAGTGCTAAAAACTCAATTTTGTGATGTCATAGTGCAGGGGTGCCCAAACATTTTTGAATGGGGTTCAGGTTAGATAATGTAATGCTTCTCCCATCATATGACTTACCTTTTTAAAAAGTCAGATACAAATGAGACAAAGGCGACTGTTTTAATCTTTCAATGAAAAATTATTAAATGTTCCACCACTGCTGAAAGTGGTGGCCCTTGATGTCGATTTAACACTTTTTTTTGCTGTGTCTGCTACCTTGTCTGCTGCAAGGTAACCATGCATCTGCTTGTTTAGCATCTGTTTAGACAACACATGAGTTCTGTCTGTGTAGCTCCTACTGACCGTTGCATGCCTGCAAACTGTATGATAGTCCTGACATCATGAGGTAAATGGGAAAAAATGCAAAGTGATCTTGCTAGATTAACCAGGCAGGCCACATTTTGAAGGCAAGCCCACAGGCCACAATTAGCCCTGGAGGACTTGTGATATGCCGGTCATAGAGTATAAAGTCTGGAGCTGCTCCATGAATAATGAATTGAAAAAGATGTGATAGATGACATTGACACATCACAAGTTTAAGATTTACTTCTCTGGTTTCTGGCTTTGAGAGAGAGAGAGTAGCTCATGTTCACAAATATTGATTAAACTTTCCTGGGCCATGGAAGTAACTTACAGGACTTCCTAGTTTAGGTGATGTTCCTCTTTAAGTCTGTATGTACAGTTGTGTAATCCCAGTAACCCTGAACGCACCATTACCGCGGAAGTATCGCCTGCTCTGATTGGTTGTCAGCAGCGTGACTCCTCCCGTCCCGGAAGAAGGAAGAGAATTCGCCCAGAGAGGAAAGTCTGTTGACAGCAGAAATCCCACCCAGGCCACTGATAAGTTTTAATATATTTACTGTCTGATTAAATCTGTTCAACGTCGCATTCTGCTGTTTGGAGGAAGCAGGAGCGCTCAAGGTAGTTCACAGTTACATTGGTGTCCACAGAGAGAGCTGGTAGGTGTCTTCTCTGCTGTTAACTCGGCTCTTGTGAACTCTTTCAGGTATGGAATATGGCAGCAACTGAAACGCAGCTTATGTTAAGCGTCGGACTAATCGGTAAGTTTCAGTTCAGAGGTCGTTTCGGCTGGTTTTCAAGTAAAGTTGTCGCCTCAGATTCACTGTACGTGCAGGAGGATCACATGATATCAGTGTGACCAGAAAGCGTCTGATCAGCAGGTCTCCATGTCCCTCACTGGTTTATTACTCTTGCATATTAGGCAGCATACACGGTCATGGATGGGTTCCTAAATGCATCTAGTAATACAGGCTCCATTGTGATTTTCAGTTTTGCTTTATATTTCCTCTGCCCAGAGAAAGATGTGAATGGAGACACACTGTGGGTATGGTGCTATCCCTCCGTGGGCTCAGACCTGAGGCAAGTCCTGCTCAGGAAGTGCTGTCTGACACAGGACAGCAGGGATTTCCACACCTTTGTGTTCGGTCAGTACTGTCGCACCTGGTACTACATCACCACAGCAGAGGTGCAGGAACCCACAGCACTAAACAAGGTACAGTGTCCAGAGACTCTGCTGACATTCAAATCTCAAACAAGGAACGACAAGAGTGCAGTATTTCTGTCTAATATCTCCATAGTTGAGTTTGACTTTGGTCTCTATTTTCTCCCTTAAAGGTCACTCATTTCTCAATAGTTGTTACAGCGAAAGACTTCAACCCTGAGAAGTATGCTGCACTCAGCAGGATACTCTGCAGGTACAGAGCTGAACTCAGGTAACATTGTTTGGCACACTTTTCTCTAAAGAATGTTTTTATAACTCGAGTGCTGTGTTTTTGTCCAGGATGTACATCAAACATGGCAGCCCAGTGAAGATGATGGAGGCTTATGTCACCGTCCTCACCAAAGGAATTTGCCAGAGTGATGAAAACGGCTCATTTCTAATTAAGGACTATGATGTTCGGAAAGCATACTTGGCCGGTTCAGTCAAAGGTGAGACATCCTAGTCATTAAAGGAAACCAGTATTTTGTTATAGATCGTTTTGGTGACATGTCTGACTTTAATGCAGCAATTAATTTAAATCCAGGACAATTTCCTCTTTCGGTAGATAATAAAAAAGCAAACTTTAACACTGAAAAAGGTCCTACAAGGAAGTAAAATGTAGCACATCAGTAGGTTAGATTTTGATCGACTGATTGGTTTTCTTTATTTCCATGTCATGCACACAAAGTGCCCAAAGCTCACTAGTTTGCTAGACATCAAAAGTGTAGTTGCATTGGTCAAACATTAAATTTAATTACAAGATTGCAGTAATTTTACAGCTCGGTCTCAAACTAAGTATTTTGCCCTCTCTTCCAAGATTGCCACACAAAATCAGCTACAAAAAAGATTCCATTCCTGAACGGGGATGTGCACATTGGTTAGTCAATTAAATGTTGCTAAATATTTATTTTCCGAAAGAATATTATTTTCAAGAAATATTATTTAACTTTTATTTAGTAAGTTCTTGTCATTTTTTCTGGGATGATGTCCAGTGTTCATTGTCATAGTGTAAAGGGCCACACAATTTATTTAAAATATGATTTGGTTATTGAAAAATGTGATTAACAATTTCAAATGGCTCATGTAAGATATGCAGTATTTATTTTTTTGGACAATGTTTAACATTATAGATTGAATTGTGATTAATTTTGACTGTTTTCTGATTGTTTTCCTGCTTTTAGGCAAGTCGACTAGTCTAACTTTAAACTTACATTGAAACGTTAAGCAAATTAGTTGTTAGGAACATCCCTATTCCTGAAGCACAAGTCAGGTTTTTCATGGTCACCCAGCCAAAAGAAATCAGCATAAATGGATGTCACGTCTGTGCTCCTAAACAGGACAGTAAAATAAAGAATTAACCTCACTCTCAATTTTATCTAGCTCCCACAAATGTAGGCGTTTTCATCACTTGTTCACAGTGATAACAATATTTCCCAGGAATTGATTGTGGTTCATAAAAAAATCAGTTGAAACACAATCTAGATTCCTTCAGAGTAAAAGTGGGTTATCCAGTTTACTTCCAGCATGTTTGTGTTCTACCTCAGATGTGGTGTCTCAGTTTGGTATGGAGACGATCATCCTGTATACTGCTCTCATGCTGAAGAAGAGGATCGTCATCCATCATCCTCGGATTGAAGCGTTGTTGGAGTTTACAAGGTGCGTTTAAGACTCAAATTCAAAACATTTGGCTTGAAACTTTGACACTTCATAGTGGAGAATATTATCATGTGTTTTCCCCAGAGTTCTCCCGACTCTGACGTGGCACAGGAAAGACTGGTCCATCCTGCACCCGTATGTGCACCTGACTG